GCAACATTTATAAGATAACTGCATTTAAATTTTATACCCAGCATATTAATATTGACACTAATTTACAAGATATACATTTCTGTTTTAAATAAGATAACTGCATTTAAAATATACCCAGCATATTAATATTGACACTAAGTTACAAGATATACATTTCTGTTTTAAATAAGTACTTATTTATATATTATGAATTGGACTTCAAGAGATCAGTTGCCCAAGGGATTAACCTGATCCCTATTTGCTTGATGTCAAAAATCCTGTAGCTTCAAACACTCCCAGACCATTCATTTTTTGTAGTAGTTGTTTAGAAGCAGCAAGTGGAGGGCTGGGTGAAGCGTATGAGCATCAAATAAGCAGAAAAAGAGTAAGCAAAGACTGGTGCCAAATGAGGCAAGATTCAATAACAATGTCCATGCACTGAAACATTTCACTTCCTTTACGAAACAAAGACATAAAAATAGGCAAAAGACAATGCAAAAGAACCATCCACGAACCATTCTACCTTGAAGAACGGACATATTCTTCTACAGGTTTTAATCCATACATATAAAAATGGAATGATTTTATAGTGAATTTTATACATTCTCCATTCTATTTAATTTTTACATCTTTTTAGTACTTTTGCTGACCTATTGACATGAGATTTTTTAAAAGAGAATTTTAGGGTGCAATCAGATAGCAGGAAAGGTGTGTCTCTGCTTGCACCAGAAAAGGGTCATTTTGCAGGAAATAATCTCCCCTTAAGCAACTCTGCTGTCAGTCAGGAAATCGCTCCAGCCTAGCTCCAGAAAAGAAAGAGCCCTACAGCTGAACCAAAAAGGTCCAGCTTGGGCAGGGATTGGTGTCGGACTGGAGTGCAATTCCCCATATGTAATATAATCACGGCGAAGCAGATTGCAACTGACCACTTCACAAGCAGCTCAAAATGTGATTTATTTCCCTGCGTCATTACACAAACTATTTGCATTTTCATTCTATCTGCTGTTGCACTGCAAAGACCTTAAAGCCGTTGGTTACTTTCTGCTGGGCATATTATCTAATTGGTATTCGCTGTGTCTTTCCACCTCTTCAGCTTGGGAAGGAGGAGGTGTTACTACAAAACACAGCAGCAGTGCATACAGAAAGTAGCTAAAAAATAAGATGTATTCCACCACTGCTCTTTTTCTTGCTTTGTTACAAAGGAGCATGGAGTTTACCAGAATCTGCATCCAAACTTCCTTTCTTAAAGCTGCTTTTCTTATCTTTAAAAAAATGGCTTTTCTTCTTCCACCTAGATCTACCTGAATCACCTGACATAGCCAGCAGGGACAGCTGAGGGGCCTGACGCCGAGAGAGGCCCGGAAGGAAAAAACAAGAAACCGGGCCTTCTCGGCGGCTGGAGCCAGTGTTGAGTGCTTTCATTTGTGATCAGCATTGGGTGGGCTGTGGGAAATTTTTAAAAGCCATTTTAAAACTTGGCTCTTCAAGCAGGCCTTCCCTCCAGTCAATTAAATGATCTTTATTTTTTTTCCTTGAGTGATGTCATCTTGGTAATATGTGTCTTTGACGATTTTTATACATGTCATATTGTTGTGTTTTTATCCATGTAAGCCGCCCCAAGTAGACATTGTCTAGGGAGGCGGGGTAAAAAAAATCTAATAAATAATAGATCGATAGATAGATCGATAGATAGATCGATAGATAGATCGATAGATCGACAGATAGACCGACAGATCGACCGACCGATCGACCGACCGACCGACCGACCGACCGACCGACCGACCGACCGACCGACAGACAGACAGACAGACAGACAGATAGATAGATAGACAGATAGATAGATAGATAGATAGATAGATAGATAGATAGATAAAATTTTCTTTGAGCACGAACTGAGTGCTAATTGAAAGCTTCCAACCAAAGTGCTCACTATGGAATCCACTGCAGTGGAAAGTACTCAGTGTCACACGTGGTACAAAATATTACTAAAATAAACTTCGTTTTTTAGAGGGACAAAAAGGAGTGGTAAGTCATGGACAGAGAAGCACCGTCTGAAGCAATAAAAGGGGCAATTTGTATGGATGGCCAGAAAAATAACAATAACTTCAGTGAAGGAGGAGGTACTTTAAGGACAACAAACAGCCTGGAACAGCCTTGACATAAACCCTGACTCCCCAAATAATAGTCCAAACTGATTGTTTTGTAGTGAAGAAAACAACTATTGGAGGGTCAAACATTCCTAGTAGTTGCTTGGGGGTCTGTTCATCTAGCTCTGGACGTAACCTACTCTTATTTCTGCTGCCTTTAAACAGTGTATTCACCTGTGTACTAACAAACTTACAAAATTACTTAAAATGTTTTGAAACATTAGTTACACTAGAGAGGTAAACATACGGTAATTTAACTTGTGATCAAGTTTGTCTGTAATCAGTCTACCTCCTTAACCCACAGAAGTGAACACATAACGCATAGTCATCAACATCTTCAACTTTGAAGGGAAAAAAATCAGCTGGCAAAAGTTCAGTCACACTCTTCCTGACTTTTAGCAGCTGGCAAATCTCTGGGCCACTTGCAAATGACCTGCATCCCTGAGGTCACTATTGATGTTTGACAACTTAGTCTCTAACTTTAGGATCCTTTCCACTGAGCAGACACATAACTTTGTTAGGAAGAAAGTAATTCTGTCACTCATCTAGGATTTCCTGCTTTGCAGTCCTCAACACAGACAAGAGACCCATGACATTTCCTCATTCTATATCCATTTTGGGACTGTTTACAATGAACAAATGTACATTTACTGTGCAAATGAAGAAACAGAATCTACATCTTTCAAGTCTGGCAAAAAAAAAAAGAAAACAATTACAGAAGACAAAACCTTTGTGACACCTTGACTAACTGCTGTATTTTAGAGTGAACTTTTGTGTAAAAGTCCACTTTTTCAGACATGAAAGTGGGGCTGCATGGCAAATATTTATACAGTTATACATGCCTCCAGAACAAAGTCTTTTTTCCCCTGGGCACAAGCAGTTGAAGATGTGGCATTTCACACCTGGCAATGATCATTATGACTCCTATTGATATCCAGTTCCCCTTCCAGGAAGCATTGCCCAGTAAACAATGAAAATACAAATGCAGGAACAGGGGATACCTTTATTGGACCCTTAAGAAAAAATAAAATAAAGCAAGCTTTCGATGATAATTCATTATCCTCAGGCTGTGCACCATGTTCTCATGGGTAGCTCCAAAATTGTTTATATGAAAGTACCAAACGGTTCCTGCATTTGTATTGTTTTTGAGGAACATACAGCTTTTTTTCATACAGCTTTTTTCTAAACAATGACAATTATTGGTGGTTTAATTAATCTCAGGTTATAAATAACAAAGGGGAACAACATGGTATGAATATCATTATCATAATGGGGCTTGTAAGGTGGCATTGGATAGTTAGTAAGGAAAAAGAGTTGAGAATTACAGCAGATGCAACATTTGATAATGGCCTAGGAATCCTTGGCGTATATTAAGTTCACCGAGATGATTATATTGGATCCATTGAGTCTTGGCTTATAGAGAGTCCCTTGGCTTATTTTAAGTCTCATGTATGAAGAAATGGACTTGTCCACAAAAGCTTACATTAAACTACAGCAGTTAGTCTTTCAGGCGCCATAACATTTTTGTTTTCTTTTTTCTTCATTTTGTTTTGTTTTTGCCTGACACGCTAGGACAAACGTGGCTACCTCTTCTAAAACTACACCGGTACAATATTTTGTTCCCAGAAAGCAGAGTCTTTTCCTAAAGATTGTGTCCATTTCAGCCAGGACTGCTGTGCAGATAGAAGAGTCATGGGCACTTCTGGGCTATTGCGCAAGATGTGAAGAACAAAGAGTGCAGTTAGGGAAGGGAGTGCTCTTGTTTCCCTGGCAGAAGTCACTGTTCCCTGCCTTGTTTCTCCTGTATCAAGTCCAAAGGAGGAGATTAAAAGGCAGCTGATGTTCTCTGAATATCCCATCTGAGGTGTCACTGATTAGGTCTGATTGCCAGGCATAGAAGAACATGGATAGTTGCGCTGCCACTTATCTTTTCTTTATATTAAAAAGAGAGAGAAAAGCAGAGGGAATGCTCATCTCTCCCTTCTCTTAGACACTGAAGACTGTTACAATTTAGTACAATTTCTCCTTACAGCAGGCAAAGAGCAGTGAGCAGAGAAAACAACTACAATAATTACTTTTGTCAAGTTGGAGGTAAGAATACTTTAGGAGTCCAGATGCCAATTTCCAATCCAGAGCACACTAAATCCAAAAAATGTGTGTTGTGGAAAGGAAGGGTATGTGAAGGGCACCATAGGAACGCCAGTCCTCTACCAGGGGATGGGAAAGTGCTGTCATTCAGATGGTGCTTTTTTTTAATGCAACTCCCATCAGCCCTAGCCAGCATAGCCAATGGTCAGCGATGCTGGAAGGTGTCATCCAAAAACATCTGAAGGTCTACATTTTGCTTCCTCTACAGACCAAAGTGGTGAGGGTACTGAGAGACAGACTGTGTGTGCATTCCATCAATCATCACTAGAACTAGTCAGTTCAGAGGAACTTACACAATCATATTTCATGAAGTATTAGCCACCACAGTGGGCATGCTAGGCAACTCCTGCATCCTCAAGGACCAGTTTCAACCGGATTTCCTGAATGTGAGACCATCCAAATGTTGTAGACTGCAATTCCCATCACCCCAAAAAACATGGTCCATGGTCAAGGGAGATGGGAGCTATATCTAGGATAGCATTGGGACTACAGGTTGCAATTGACTACTTTAGGGTAAAAATGGCTGAATAATAGCTAAGGAGAAATCAAAACTAATCCCATACATCAAAAAGATTGAATGTAGATTCTGAAAAGTCAATGCTATACATTCAGGCGCACTTTCACATTCATATGGGGAAGGTTAGAAGGAGCTTTGTTATGGCCTAAGAAACCTTTAAATCCACAGGAATGGGAACATCAATCAAGCCAATAAGGTGCACTACTCACCTGGTGCCTCCGAAGAGGATGATCTTGTCCCCTACTCTACAACAGCATTGCCTGCGGCGAGGACATGGCCCTTTCCCCTTGGGATCGATTTTCTTCCAGGTGAAAGAAGCTGGATAAAACATATACACCATGAAAGCTCAGTATTTCAAGCAATCCTGGCACAGATAAGCCACCTGGAGAAGGTTTTAAACATAGTGTACGTAATATACAGAACCCAGTCTCTTCCTCTCTGCGTCTTCATTTAAACACAGCCGCCTAGAGTGGTCTTAACCAACTAGATAGGTGGGATATAAAATAAATAAATAAATAAATAAATAACTTCTCAATCAGAGCAAAAGGACGCATTCTTTGAAGATACTGCACTCCAGATTCTGTACAGCTTAGTATTTTACTCGGTAGGGATGCATTAAACCAGATCTCACATCATTTTTGCCTGAAGAAGTTTCAACACCCAAGTATTCAGCATGTCTGTGTGTACGGAGGCATGTATGCAAGGATCTCTACTTACAAATATGAGAGGTGTTCAGGGTTCCGAATGTCCTCAATCTTTTCCATAGAAAAATGTTTCCTTGTACTTTAAAAGTGTTATTTCCAATGGAGCAAGGTATTGCTAGCAAAGAAACCTGCAAATTCTTGCTCGCACACCAACATGTGCTTTTTCAGCAATACAAGGCATGTTCAGGCAACGTCACACCTACGTTAGCATGCAGTACTTTTTATGCCTCACAATATGTACAATGGAAGACTTGATGTTAGCTGCCTAAATGCTCTTGATGTTGACCAATATTGAGCCAAAGTTATTTAATATACTTATTTATTGTGCAGTGGTGCTTCTGACAGAAACGAAGACCAATAGAAGGCCAAACTAAGGACAGATGCAAAGCTTATATGCATTCTCACATAATATATTAGCTGAACATCTTCAACACTTCAGAAAGTGAACCCATATTTCACACTTTTCATGTTACAGAAGCAGGACACGTCCTTAAATAAAAAGAACTCTTCCGATTTACCTTGAAAATCCAGAGATATTACAATTTAAAACTTTCAAATGATAATGTTCCAATTTCATTAAAAATGGATTTTTTGTTCTACTACAGTCTTGGGAAAAGCTACTATACTGGAGGGCAAAGAAAAAGAAGGTGAAAACTGTATAATTTGGAAATGAGAAGCCACACAGCATCTTCTGTAAAAATCCTGCCGAAACAGCTTTGTGGAGGACTAAATGCAGACACACTGCCATCTGCTGGCAGTTACACAAAATGCAGGCACCCTGCATATAGAGCCATACCTTCTGAAAGCCTGCAAATGTCTACTTTTGAAAGGGAAAGTGGGCTAGATTGATGGAAGAGGACAGGTTACTCACCAGTAACGGTGCTGAGTGGTCATTCTGTGCATTTACACACCTGGATTAGTGTGTCTGCACAGTACACTGTGCAGAATCTTCACGAGCCTGCTTGCCCAGAGCTTTCTCCTCCTTCCTACTGCACATGCCCTTCCCATTCACCTCAGTCCTAACTTGTTCGCTGCAAAGCCACCAGGAAAAATTATGGGCAGAGCATCACTGATGACACTACAGCCTTATTCTTCCTTTGTTTCTTAGATCTAATCACCACAGCCTTCTCTATATGTTTCCTTTTTTATTAGAGAAGATTTCTTCAATTTTTAGTCCATCAAAGAATTGTGAGGACCCAATTCTCTCTATTTCAGTTGCAGAGTCACTGGCTTAGAAGTCGATGGTGCTGGATTTGAAGTTGGAGGAGCAGCAACCAAAGTGACCGCAGGTAATTCTTGAGCAGGGGTGGTGGCTTGAAATGAGCCAGAGTTAGTTGTCATGGCCTTCAGAGTTGACACAAGAGTCTTTGGGATGAGATTCAGTCAGCACAGAATGGCTTCCAATGACTTCTCCATGGAAACCATTTTAAAGGAGAAGCGCTACTTTTGTAAATCCCTTACAAATCGAACAATTTTTCACTAAATGTCCTTCCCCAAGCAACAGAGGCATTTGGAGTGGCTGTCAGCCTGAGGGATTTTTGCTCCACAGTCGGTTTACTTTTTCATTACGGCCACAGCGGCCATAAAAAAATTGACAAGAAACCACTGAGGAAAACGACAGGGTGAAAAAGGAGGAGGGGGGCAAGAATTCTAAAATGAGGAAGAACTAACTTTTTCCCCCCTTTAGGCAATAATAAGGACAAGGAAAGGAGAAAAAAGGTAACTAAAACTAGCAGTAAGATTAAAAACTGGGCAATAATAGATGGTTTTCAACAGACTCCAGGCTTCGAGGTATTGCTATTATGGTGGAGAGAAATGGACAGAGATGAGGAGAGGCAGCATGCACAGTAGGCTGGGCAACCAGGCTCTAGAACAGTGGTTCCCAGCCTTAGGTAACCCAGGTATTCTTGGACTACAACTCCCAGAAACTGGGAGCTGGTGTTGGAGGCTTCTGGGAACTGCAGTGCAAGGACACCTGGGTTTCCAAGGTTGGGAACCACTGCTCTAAAAGATTGGAGGCTTCTACTGCACAGGTGTGCCAACCCAGATGTGTGAATCAATGAGCATGAAGAAGGAAGAAAACTGTTGATAAGATATCAGTGCCTGGAGCATATGATGAGAAATCTTTCCCAGGAATGTTGTATCACAGTATGTAAAGAGGAAGTTTCCTTCCTCTCAGATAATTCTGGAACTTAAGAGTTACCCAACAACAGTGAATAGCAGATTCAAGACAAGCACAAATACTGTTTCATACAACATTTAAAAAACGTACGAGATTCACTGCCACAAAATCCGTAAATTCCACTAGCCTAGATTTTTTTTCTTTAAAGGATGTTAGACTGATTTACAAAGCATAAATTTATTACTAAGAGCCTCGTGGCGCAGTGGTTAAAACGCTGTACTGCAGCTAAAACTGTGCTCACGACCTGGGGTTCAAATCCCAGGTAGCCGGCTCAAGGTTGACTCAGCCTTCCATCCTTCCGAGGTCGGTAAAATGAGTACCCAGCTTGCTGGGGGGGCAATGTGTAGCCTTTATAATTAAAATTGTAAACCGCCCGGAGAGTGCTTGTAGCGCTATGGGGCGGTATATAAGTCCAATAAATAAATAAATAAATAAATAAAATACTAATTAACAGTAAGTATGGAGGGCATGCAATAAAACTGGAGCACATACTGTAGCGCTGCTATGCTGTATGCCAGCCAGCCAAGATCTCTCCAAGGTATTCCATTCCACTACCAAACCATCACCACACAGCATTCTGTGTTCACTGGGAATGCCAAGTCCTCACTGGGCTGGATTCTGTTTCGGCTTTTTGTCCTCTGAGGTTTTCATTGCCCGTTAAAGATTAATGGCATTTTGTTTCTTTGAATAGACCTCGTTCCTTCTAGTTGCTCAGTGGTTTTGTTTTGGCTAGAAAGTTGTTGGCATTCACTAGCAGAATCCCTTTAATAGAAGGAATGATGACAAAATGGAATTTCCAGGTTCAGAAACAGCCTGTCCTTGAGTACAGTACTGGAAGGGAAGTAAGCAGAAGATTGTGGGTGGCTCTAATCTACACACTTCAGATTGGCCACTGCTAGAAACAAGGTGCTAAACTAGTTGGAACCTGTAATTTTTGTGTGTGTGTGTGTGAGAGAGAGAGAGAGAGAGGGAGAGAGAGAGAGAGAGAGGGAGGGAGAGAGAGGCTGGAAAGCCCATTATGTTAATTCCTATTACCTCACCTCATACGTTCTAATCTAATGTATAAAATGTAATTTTTATATAGCTTGGAAAAGTTAATTTTAGGGGCTATAACTCATAGGTGCTGGAGCTGTAATTTTTCAGAGCTGTGAATTAAAAATAGACTGTGAAACCAACTACCTAAACACTGCTGTACCTAGCAAATGTCACGCTTATTCTTGCCTGTTTCCACAGATTTTGGCGACTGACAGGCCCTTTCAGGGCATAATGCCTAACTTGATGAATTCTCTACACCTAAGTTGCCTGCTTGGTTTTTACCTTGTTAGCTTGGAAGTGTCAAACCAATACAGTTTTCTCCACCTCAACCTTTGATGGCTAAGAACAACAAAGGAGAACAAAAGGAGTGGTTTGAAAATATAATTTCTCCTATACTGTGAATATTATTAGTTGGTGTGTTAATTTTACTCCTCTGAATGACGCCATTGAGGCTCTGAAAAAATGAGAAATTATATATGATTTGAAGCCAGATACTCTAGAACTATCCAATGTTTTAATCCGTTAAATCTCACAAAAGGACCAGAACTCTCTGCAGTGATAAAGGAGAAGACATCTGACAGATTTTAGAATAGAGCGGGTTTATGTTCTGTGTTGGGTGAAAGTACAGTATAGAGAAATGGTGGCAGTGCTCATGGGCAAATATACATGTGTGTCTAGTCCCTGAGTAATTTGGTGAAGAAAGGTCCAAAGCCCATTCTTGAAGGGGATCTTTCTGCACAAAAATCAAATTGTTGAAATACTAAGCTATCAGCTATGAACAAATTTCCTGGATAAAGCCAGATTTCTCTGCATCTTTTTTCCCCTCCAGGTAGTTAATGGTTGCCTGCCACATCACATTATGATTCTAGTACTGAAAAGCAACTGCAAATGAAATACTTTTCATGTATTAAGCTTAACCCCTTCACGGATTGCTGCCTTGTCATGGCAAAGGGGCTTAAGTAATTCAGAGAAGCTATGGGCTATGCCGTGCAGGGACAGGTCATAATGGAGAGTTCTGACTAAACACAATCACATGGAGCAGGAACTGGCAAGCCACCCCAGTATCTTTGCCAGGAAAGCCCCATGGACAGAAACAAAAGGCTAAAAGATATGACGCCGGAAGATGAGCTCCTCAGGTTGGAAGGCATCCAACATGCTACTGAGGAAGAGCAGAGGACAAGTACAAGTAGCTCCAGAGCTAATGAAGTGGTTGGGCCAAAGCTGAAAGGACGCTCAGCTGCGGACGTGCCTGGAAGTGAAAGGAAAGTCTGATGCTGCAAAGAAAAATACTGCATAGAAACTTGGAATGTAAGATCTATGAATCTTCGTAAGCTGGATGTTGTCAAACAGCAAGAATAAACATTGACATCCTGGGCATCAGTGAACTAAAATGGATGAGAATGGGCGAATTCAATTCAGACGATCACCATATCTACTATTGTG